AGGTGACTATATGGAGGGATGACTGTATTCATTTTCTACGTACGTACGTACGTACGTACGTACGTAGATAAATCGATACCACAAGAAGAGCATAGCAGAAGTAATGGTATAAATGGCCTTGGTTTGCAAAAAAAATGAATTAAAAATGACCTAATTCACAAGATTCTCTTATAATATTAAATTATTGGAGAGCAAAATAATTATTATATCATAATATCGATATCGATATTTGAAAATCAGCCTGGATTGTGGACATATTTCTCTGACTGTGATGTTACGGTTAGTCCTATTTTAGTAACCAATATAATTTCGTTATGTTTCTTAATTAAACAATCGGTTAAAATTTCATTAGTCCTATTTTAGTAACCAATAGGCGCTTATGCATTTCCTGTAGTGTAGTCTCATTGAGAGAAGAGATGAATTATTAGATAGCGTAATTTTATTGATAGACAGTAAGGAAATAGATTTACCTGTGAATTATGAATAAAACGCGTTCCTTAAAGGGAGGGAGAGTAAATGCTGTGATTCACGTGATGTGGTAAGATCTTATACAAATGGATTCCATAGTATAGATACTTATTGCCGTACTTACTCAAAAGAACGCCCCGGAACGTTATTTTGGATACATGGTGCGAAATTGCGAAAGTATGGAAAAATTGCTATTAATCAAAGTCTATCGTGATTTAATCACATAATTCTAGAATTTATCTTTATTTGATATCAATTTTTTTTTCAAGATAAATTATATCTATGTGGGAAAATGATATTGAAAAAATATATATTTAACCATTTACAGAAAGATTGATTATTTAATCTATAAAATGAGCACAGTAAACTTTAACAAATTGATAAAAATAATTGTAGTGTTATTTATTATAGTTTTTTATTTATCGTACCAAAACACGACATATCAGGTATTATATACAAGATATCCATCCGCCGTTAACTATGGTAAAAATTTATAAGGAAAGTGGCAGATATTGATATCCAATCATTACGTAAGATCTGCCACCTTCTACATTTTCATTCCATTGAATTATTAATCAAAAATCTCCGAAATATTTAAATGCACCGATTTAATTCGCGTTATTCAGAAATTTTAAAAACATTGATAGAAGTCAAAGACCCAATCGTATCCGCAAGAAATCGCACTTTACAACTTTTAAAAACATTCTCAACTATGCCTCCTATTGCAAAAAGTAGCCATTATGACTATCTTGTTATTGGTGGAGGTAGTGGTGGTTTAGCTTCAGCCAGGCGCGCTGGTTCATATGGCTTTAAGGTTGGCATAATAGAATCAAGCGGTAGACTAGGTGGAACTTGTGTTAATGTCGGTTGCGTTCCTAAGAAGGTTATGTTTAATACTGGTAAGATTGAAAGGAATACTATGTCAAAATTGCATTGTTATTTTACTGATATTTTAATATCATACAAATATGCTTAGCTTCTATCGCTGAAGCTTTACATGATGCGCAACAGTATGGTTTTGATCTATCATCGATCCCCCAGTTCAATTGGAATCTCCTTAAACAAAAACGTGATGCATACATTAAACGCTTAAATTCCATTTATGTTAATAACCTCGCCAAGGATAATGTTGAATACATTGAAGGAAAGGCAAGTTTCATATCAAAAAATGTGTTAAGAGTAGAACGTGATGGACAAGTCGAGGAAATAGAAGCGAAAAAAATTCTAATTGCCACTGGTAAATCGTTTTTTTTTTTCATATTCTAATATTTAAATTATTCTATTTTTATTAACAAATTTATAAATAGGTGGTCGCCCTCACTTACCATCTGAAATCCCTGGTTTTGAATTGGGAATAACAAGTGATGGTTTCTTTGATCTTGAAGAACAACCTAAAAAAGTTCTTGTCGTTGGTACAGGATACATTGGTGTTGAACTTGCTGGAATATTCAACACCTTAGGTATGCTTTTACCTTAAGTTCTTTTATTATGAATTATTTAATGTGATGTTAATTTCTGTATAAATCTTTAGGAACAAATACATCTTTGCTTAGCCGTTCGGGTGAAATTTTACGTACATTTGATCCAATTATCAAAGACACACTCCTTGAACAGTCAAAAAAAGAGGGTATACGCGTTCTAACGCATGCCAGCGTAAAATCCCTATCACGTGATTCGCCTGCTGGTCCCATAAAAGTTAGCCTTACCTCAAAGGAAACAAATGATACGGTAGAAGAATTTGATACTCTTCTGTGGGCGATTGGAAGGACTCCGAATGTTGATCTAAATTTGGATGCTATTGGCGTTAAATTAAATGATAAAGGGTATATTATTAGTGATGAATATCAAAATACCACTACTGAAGAAATATATGCTTTAGGTGACGTATGCGGGGTGGCGCAGTTAACACCTGGTAGGTAATTGTGTTCTTAATGTGTAATATATTATTTGTGTTAACCTTTTTTTTTCAAAAAAATCTAGTTGCTATTGCTGCAGGGAGACGTTTATCTGATCGTCTCTTTGGTCCTCCAAAGTTTAAAGAAAGTAAACTTGATTATAACAATATTCCAACTGTCGTATTTCATGGTACTTGTGGAACCGTTGGCTTGACAGAGCCTGAGGCAAGAAAGAAGTTTGGAGATGAAAATGTCAAAACTTACACTTCTAAATTTGTAAATTTGTACTATGCTATGACTGAACAAAGTATATTATATTTTTAAAAAAAATTATTTTATGCATAAAATCAACAATAAATTAATCTTTAAAATTCTTTAATAGAACCCGCAACAGCATACAAACTTGTCGTAGTGGGTGAAGAAGAAAAAGTTGTTGGTGTTCACCTTGTTGGAAAAGATTCGGCTGAAATTGTAATTATACACTTACGTTGGTCTTTTCTTGTTCACTTGATATTACCAGAAATCCAATGACGATATATTTTTCCTATTTTATAGTTACAGGGATTTTCGGTTGCTGTTAAAATGGGCGCAACGAAAGCAGATTTTGATAGTACAGTTGCAATCCATCCTACTGCCGGAGAAGAATTGGTACATTTTATTTAAAGTTTATAACAATGTTTTATTAATTCTTTATTAGTTATTTTTCACAGGTTAACTATATAATTATTTTTTTCTATAGGTAACAATGAAATGATGTTTTGGCAAAAACTAGTAGAATTGATTCTTTATTGAAAAATAGACAATGTATTGTATAAAATGCAATGATTATGCAATAATAAAGTTACAAAATTTATAGGGCTTATTTATTTTAAATCTATTTCTTATTTTAAGACTTGGCCATATAGTAATTTAATCACATGCAAAATTGTAGTATCGCGTGATCTTCCGTGTGTATGGTGAACACAAGTAAAAAAAGTTCACTTCGACAAAATTTACTATATATTTTAATGTATTTTACGATTTTTATTAAAAGATTACTGAATTTACTTTTGAGGATTCCGGCAAAGTTAGGTATAACTGTTTTTCCTTAATAAATTTTATGAGATGGCCAAATTTTTACTTAGAAATTCATTATAGCTAAATAGCGATGGAGATAGATTTCTTTCAACTGAATTTTGTAATTGTGATAATCATGTTATATAGATAAGGTTTGTGATTGGCTACATACAATATGTAAAATAATGTTTCGTAGTTCAAAGATCCAACCTTTAATACTCCACCACGTTCCCAAAATGCCATTAATAAACCAAAATCTTCATAAGCAACTTCAAAATAGTCTATTGATCCAGCCTTGGTACAACATTTTGACAGGTCGGTTTTTGACGCGTCCTAATGTCCACCTTTGGGCCCCGTGTACAAACACGTAACGTACAAATAATATTTCTCGAAATAAAGCATAACGATAATAAAAAATCATTCATCGGGTGTAACGTAACACGATCAGGAAAATTCAAAGAAAACAATCGTTTTTGTCAAAAATTGCTTATTTCCGAGAATTCGCATAAGAAACCACCTTTAGCGCTCTAAACAAAAAGTTTTCCTCGAGTGATTTTGTTATATGTTTACATAGATTCTAACATAGACACTAATCTCAACGTTAATAAACTTTAAAGAATTTTGTCGGCTTCACGTGACTGCAACTTTTTTATAGCGATACCGGGGAAGTGCAAGCAATGTTTGTCGTTCCTTTAAATATGCCACATGCTATGTTATCAGCTACGATACAAAAGCTATATCTAACTGCAACAATACGCAAAATTTTCATATTCATCAACATAGCTCAGCTTTTCTAAAGCTTTAGAAGATTCGACTTTCGTCAAGAGTTTCGCCTTTCGCTGGGGAGGTTTCGCCTTTCGCCGGGGGTTTCACCTTTCGCCGGGTTTAGGTTTCGTCTTTCGCCATTCACGCAAAATGGCCTCGTCTAACAACTATATTCTTGCTTTTGGTACTCGTAGATCGTTCGGGACCATTCGTACAACATTGATTTTATCCGATGGTCAATGTCCGCCAAATGTAATGGATAAAATTTTAAATGATAATTTGGACTATTTGCAACAAATGTTGGATGCATATGATAAAAAGACTTTGGCAGCTCCACCAGCACCGGCGAGTGATAAAGCTTTTGATCTTACTGAAACCTCTCTCAGCAGCTTGCTTCTACTCGATTCGTCTGTCTGTAAAAACTTAATCCGCAGTTTCAAAGAAGAGAATGTAACATGGGAACAATGGAGTAGTGATGAACTACGAGAAAAGATAATTCAGCATTATTTCGAAGAACGAATTAATGTTATTGAAATTTTATGTTATCTATTTTTCTTAGCGTTGGATCCAGATAAGGTATATCACGAATTAGCAATAGAAATAATTCAGAATCATTTTTTAGATGATACTTTTAAAGATAGAATATTTGATCAATTTAAACGAAAATCTCAACAAGATGTACCTCAAAACTTTTTGGATGCAGACTTAGCAACATTATGGGCCACTCAATCTGTAAAAGAACAAAAGGTTTTATTAGATCTTTTGTTTCTACGATATGCTGTACAGTCTCCAGATCAATCATCTCATCTGTTGTTATTAAAGTTTCTCAACCATTCGATTAGTACAAGATTTTGTCGTGATCAACCTACTGACCGATTCCTTGATCCAATTGGGAAAGAAATCGTATCTCAAGCCCATGACCTTAGTCAAATTTTAGTAATCATAATTCTATTTGTTGAATTTAATGTTGATATTATTCTGCCTTCTGCTCCTTCGCTTTTCAAACGACCTGCCTCACAACAAGATATCATGGCTATCAATGAAGTTGCGCTAAAAATGGGCAACGATCAAACACATGGAATTTTTTTATGGGTTTGGTCATCATATTTATCGCATTTACAGACATATTTTGACGAAACAAGTTGGCCTTATGCATATCAAGAACTTGAAACGATCGTGAACAGTATAACAAGGGAATTTGGTGTCAAAGCGTTCAAGCTTAACGTCATCAAGTATATTCATTTTGTTCTTACCGGCTCGTGTTTTCGACCAGAAGAACCATATGTTACGGGTTATAAATTAGTATTTAAACATTTTTTCATGTCTATTTTCGAAGCTTATGAGGTTAACCATTTACCGAATTATGAAGGTCTTGTGGAATGTTTTGCACTAGTATTTGGAGAATACGGCCCATGTAAAGAATTTTGGGAAGAGGATTTCGACCATCCTAAACGAAGATCATTATTAGATTTGGCAATAGCCAGATTTCCACAGCAATTTGGTCCACTCATACGATTACTTACCGCTTTGTCGGCCAATTCAGATTCAGCGAAATACGTATTTGAGTTTTTACAATCGTTCTCTGTATGTTGTTATTTGGCCAATGACGGGCAAATAAATGTTGTTGAATCTGGTCAATATGTGGTATTGTCTTGCCAACCTATTAAAATATTTGATGACATTTATCAAAAAACAATTACAATTCCACAAGGTACATATGGTAACATAGTCTCACTTACCAATGGGAACAAGATAGTTCGTTGGAAATTCAATTATTCAGCTTGGCATCTTTTTGGAAATATGTTGGAATCTTTTCCTGTGACACAGATTGACAAGTCAGAATCTATTTCACCGTCATCAGGGGATACTATTCTTTCTAGAATTAGAGATATCTTGCAACTTTTACAAACCATTTTAACATATGCACCAAATTTAGTCAAACCATTTATCGAACATTTAGAAGCACGCGAAGAAACTATCAAATATTATGCCGACTTTCCATCAATTATCTTTGCTGTGATTAAACATAGTTTTCATCTTTTGAATAAAATGAATCATGATGAAATAGAATTAATTGCTTGTTGTTTAAGATGTTTGAGAGCTTTGTTACCTCATTTTGGTAATGAAATTTGTTCATACCTTAAACAATCAAAGCTTTTACCAGAAATAGTGACAACTGGCGAAACTATTAACTATACTCAATCAATTGATCAATTACAATATCTGTTAATGGAACGTGAATGCATTTTTGGCAATTACCCAGTGACACTCGCCTTTTTAGATCTAGTAATTCGTATCTTGGGTAACATTGAGCAGGTCGAATTGGTCCCGGATACGGGGAGTCCTTTAGATGTGCTTCATTCTTGTACATATTACGTATTGAACGCTATTTTTGTTTCGTATGATCATTGGCGTTACAATAATTCGGCGGAACATATTCAAGTTGGCCACAAATGTTTGGAAATTTTCAATAGAATCATGTTGGGATGTCCACCTGTAAATGAAATTCCTAAACATACTGATCCTATGATATCTACTAAAGAAAGCCCGTTACAAAATTCACTGCGGAAAAATTTGTCAAAAAGTTTTTTAAATGATGGGGGTTTATATCACGCACTTCCGTTATTTTCTATAATTGAAAGAGGTAAAGAACATAGACATTATGTAGAGAGAGTTCCAAACTATCAAATGTCACAGGATTCGACCGAATTGCAAGAGTTGACATTGTCATTTCTTTTAAGACTGTTAAAGACACGAATAAAAAGCGCTGAAGTCTCTTGGATGGAAGTTAACTTGTTAGAAAGGTCTTCAGAAAATAATAATAATAATAGATTAGTTGCAGCAATTGCATCATTTATCAAACGTACTGACAACTTGAACATCTCAATATTATCCTGCGAGTTGTTGACTTTACTTTTTGAGTTAGCTATAAAAGCGTTACCAAAATGGACATCGTTAGGTAGTCTTCTTGGAAGTGACTCCGAATCAAAAAATTTGATAAATATTTTTCTACATAGGCTTAAAACGGAGGTTCAAGCACCAACTCTTCAGGTTGCCATCTTAAATTTTTTCACTATTTCGACTCACGCACAGATTGGGCTAATTATTCAGGGATCCCACATTTTCTCTGATGTATTTGACCGTAAAGGCAAATCTAAAGTTACGGATGCTACGTCTTTTGATTCTATTATTCGAATCGTTCTCGACTTTCTACAAGATTGGGAAAATCTTCAGCAAGAAAAACCGTTTTTATTACTGGCTACAATACGATTCCTTGATGTATTATGGGAAAATTCTCGGAACTTTGATAAAAGTATTTTGCAAACATTACGGGAAGATAATAAGTTTTGGGACAATTTAGCAGCAATACTTTTTGGGGACTTGGATACAAAAATACAACCACATAAAGTTTTCGATTTAGTTCAAGATCATCTTATTAGTGATGTTAATAATATGGTGGCACAAGTATGTTGCCATCTTAATATTAAAGCTCGGGTGCTGCGAATATTAGCGCATGAAATTTATATTCTGACATCATTTAATAGTTCGAAAGATGCCAATGATTTTCTCAAAGCCATTCCTTCAGGCGGTTTGAGAACAATTTTTGCGGAAATTAAGGACTCAGATAAGCTTACAACATGGCTTAAAGATTTTACACGTATCGACTATGATTCAACAATTCAACGTTCTCTTTATGACATTAGAGAACGTAGCTTTCCTTGGCTCAAATTACAAAGACTGACCATTGTTTGTTGGAATGAGGATTATGATTTAAGTCATATTTATGGTGACAATTACATGTATGATATTAATTTAGCAAGGAAATTATTGAGCCTTCGCAATAATTCACCAGATTCTGAAAGATTATTGCATGCATTATGTAAAGAAAATCATCATTGGTCCCGGATAGATGCGCAAGTTGTGTTGCTCAGGTCATGGAAATATCTTATGGAAGCAGCTTCTGATAGGTTGGCTGGTGTCTTTTGGACGTTGAAAAACAAATCCGATGTTTCTTGGCCGATTTTGAAAGGTATTGCGGAACGTATTGAAGAAGAAACGCGCGATGGGCATATCATAATGATGATGATTCGTGATGACTTAGCTTCTTTACTGCTACGCTTATTGGAACGATTGTCGACTTCTGAGGAATCCTCTATTCTAGATCACACTATACATTATGCTGAATTAATCAATCTATTGCATAATGGAATAATGAGCGTAATTTTTCCTATCCGTGACTCTGTTTTAGAACGTTCTACACCGCCATTTCATCGACCGCTTTTACAATCTCTATTATTATGCCTTCGCGCACTTCGCAATACTGATAGCCTTTTATCACGTGATAAGTCAATCTTACCAGGATTTCAGTCTACTTGCCGTTCTCTCCTTACAGAAATTAGCGCTTTGCTGGAATCGCTTATGAGCAGGAAAGTAAATGATAATGCTATTGATGAAGACATTTTGACATTGGTCGCAATCCTGGAAAAACTTATACATCCATTATGTAACCCGTATCCTACTGTCTGGCTCAAGATTCTAGAAGACCATCATATAATTCAATTGCTTCTCAACACATTTACCTACTCTTTATCTTTGCCATGGAAAGATCGCGCAATATATACCGATAGCGTGATGTATTTTCTTTTATCGCTGGCAAATGTTCCAGTTGCAGCGAAGCAGTTGTATCATGATGGAATAATGACAGAGTTTTGCAATAATAGGTTGTCGCAAGCTTTGCAAAAAGGGGATGTTCAACCAAATTCAAAAGAAGATCGACATCAAGTGTGGTGCTTTATGTTGGCAGTGGTAACAAGTATATTATGTACTATTGAAAGTAAGGAAAAGGCCAATTATTTGAGAAACGTAGTAGGCTTTGTCAATCTTTTCAATAGTCAAATCCTTCATGCAATGACGTGTGAATTACCAATTAACATGCCATATCTAGAGGAAATTCAACGTACAACAATGTTATTTCATCAATTGGCACTTCATATTGGACCACTTGGTGAAATTGAAATTTCTCGCTATTATGAAGAATCCTTAACAACACTTTTAGCCAAGATTAACTATCTTTTTACTCATCCAAAAACCACTTCTCTGATGGTTTTACCGTTGACACCTGATGAAAAAGAACAATCAGCCACGCCTGTTTCGGATGGCATAAAGTCTGCATTCCAAAAAGCCATGCCACAAGTAAATGTTACATCTCCCGGTTCTTATGAAATGAACAGGTTCATGCAACGTGTTCAGCAAAAACTTTTAATAATTACACGTAATATTTTGGCTACCTTTATTCATTTGGCCAATTCTAAGGATGTTCTTACCATGTCTATACCGATATGGTCGGAACAATGTATATACTTTGAACCATTGATAAAAGGTTCAGATGATGAGCCTGCAACTATTGCCACCTTATTAGAATTAATGGACTACGGGCTAACGTTACTTGAGTTATGGGAATTATCCATTAGCTCTGATCAAATTGATGATTGGCAATTCTGGCGTGTGACTTGGAAAACAACTACAACTTTTATTGAAATGACCTTTGTTTTAGCAACATCGCAATTGACATCAAGCTTTTACTCTGAACCACATAAACGAAAAGATATTCAAGATTTAATGACTGATGTGAAATCTCGTATGGTCAATGTACAACGATTAATAAAAAAATTATTAGACACTGGCGCACGAATTAAAACGGAGGAACAAGAGTTAAAATCAGTTGAAATTGTTTTGCGTGGATTACAGCAGTTTATCTCTAAGGCATTAGGTACGGTTTAGAGCTTAGAACCGGGTTATAGTAAGCCGGGTCACCCGCGTCAAAACGGTTCAACCGGGTCAAAAGTTTACAACTCGGGTCAAAACGGTTGAATATGTAATCTCGATCTATTATTATTACAAAGAAAACAAAATTTAACTCATTATTATTGTAGTGTGAATACACACACATTTTTTCTTACTAATTTTATCTAAATGTTCACCCGCTAACCTGGATTTTAAAAAAAATTATGGACTATCTATTGCGAAAATTTTGTCAAAAATTTTCCTTTGTATAAACCATCATTATATTAGTTTCTTTGCTTGGCTAATATGTAATACACTGTGTTCCATTGGGACGACTTTTACGCTATATCGATATACCCTAAATTTATAACATAGTTATGATCGATATTATTTTTAACATAAGCTACCCCAGTAAGGCCATGAAAGATATGCACCAATCAGATGATCTTCACTAATTATAATAAAAACCTACGTTAGGGCTTTCTTATACTAAAATTTTACGAAGAATTCTTTTTGTTAGTGTGCAGTAGGTGGTAGATGGTTAGAAAAGATCTGATTGGTGCATCTGCGACGATCTTTCATGGTCCTACTGGGGTAGCTTTTAATGTGATGTGAGTCAAATCATCTGACTATAAGTATATTTATAAGAAGAGATGAATTTTAACAATAAAAAAAGTCGGATTTTAAGTGGGGGAGATGGTTTGACTTATACCGTCATAATAAACGGTCAAACTTGAACACTTAAATAATTTGACAAAAAATAGAATATACAAAAAATTTTTATAAAATTTTGATTATAATTGGCTGCGGTGACTGAAAAACTCGTGCCACATGTCACACTCAACAGCCATAGGTGTTCAAAACATTTTATCCATTTTGTGTAATCCAACCTTCCGGACTTAAATTATGCTAAAAATTAGAATTTTGCAAAAGCAATTGTTTAGCAATTTAAAAAATTAGTAAACAATATAGTAGTAAACCAACAAGAAAAAAAAAAAATCATGAAAAAAAAAGAAAAGCAGTGAAAAAAAAAAGTAAAAAAAAACAAAAATAAATAAAAAAAAATGAAAATATAAAAAAAAAA